AATGAAACTATATCCTACAAGGTTCTACTGTAGGATCAGTCTGAGTGACAAAGTCCAACTCTTCTAGTCAAAACACATACATATCACCACCATTCTTGCCACACATACCAAGTCAAAGTAGAAAGATGAAAGACCAAGAACTGGAAGTTCTGGTCCAGGTTCTGATAATAACTACAACTTTCAGCAAAGTGAAGTGAGTCAACCCAACCCTTAGATCTTATTTGCAAAATGAAAGGGCTGTGTGTTTAGCTTTAAAATTCCAACATTCTGAATTCAGAATACCATTTGGTATTCCTATCTCTGCTTATTCCATTTCTCCTTTCCAATGAAAGGCCTGTCTATTATACAAATTCTATGTCTAAAACTTGTGTCTGGGCACACAGGCCCTCCCCCCCATCAAGTCCCTAGCTTTGGGGATCCATGGTCTTAAGCGCTCACAGAGACGCCATGGTTTCTTGTCTCATCTGTTACCTTTAGACAGAGAAGCCTCAACCTACCAACAGGGCAAGGCCATCTCTGATGAGGATACTCTACAACTGGAAGGTACCCATGGGACCCAAGGGTTCTGGTCTTGCCCTAGGATGGGTCACTTCATGCTGTTATACATCTTTCAGCTGATGCCAAAACTGACACTCTCAGAGAAAACCAAGCACAAGTGTCTGTGGTTCAGGCCTCTACTGAATCAGAATATTGACCTTTTGATAATGTTTTCCCTTAGGAGCTCAAGAAAGACTATGTTTCAACTGTGAGAATGAGTTAATCCAGAAGAGAACATCAATTTTTAGAGTATCAACTAAAATATAAAACCTAGCATTTCTTATGAGTAGAAAGGACAGAGTAGAGAATCCATAGCTAGGTGGCTTGGGAATTAAGGCCCTCAAAAAAAAAAGGTGACTTTTGCATTTGGATTTATTAAAATACTGTTTCATGGAAGCAGTGGGCAGGGCTCGGTGCAGTGGCTCACACCTGTAATCTCAGCACTTTGGGAGGCTGAGACAGGAGGATTGCTTGAGTCCAGGAATTCAAAACAGCCTAGGCAACATAGTAAGACCCCACCTTTACCCAAAAAAATAAAAATATTACCCCACCATCTCAGCCACTTGGGAGAGTGAGGTGGAAGGAGCCCAGGAGGTCAAGGCTGCCATGAGCCACAATCGTGCCACTGCACTCCAGCCAGGGAGACAAGAGTGAGACTCCAACCAAGAAAAAGAAAAGGAAAAGAGAGGCCGTGGAAGGGATGGGGTACAGAAGCAATGAAACCACAAACCCAACCATCTTCATACTCGCCACCAGGAGAGAAAATGTCCTGAGCTGCCTTAGGACCAAGCAAGCAAACAAAGGAAAACCCCTTAGCTGTCTCCTCCCCCTCTGCTCAGTTCTGCTAACAGTCAGCTTCTGCTTCTGCCCCTCATGCTCTGTCCTTCTGCCCAACTCCAAAAATGACCAGGGCTATGGCAAATATTCTAATCTATGTTCAAAGTTTACCTATTCTGGGGTGAATTCCTACATTTTTGGTCTGACATCTCTATACTTTCCTTGAGTTCATCAGAATATTAAAATTTGAGATTTTAAGTTCAATGTATTTAAAAAAACTTTTAAAAAATACCTATTTTGTTGGGTGTGTGAACAGAAAATTCACGCTAAGTGTATGGCACATGAGAGCTTCAATAAGAGAGTCCAGTCAGGATGGGCTTGGTGGCTCATGCCTGGAATCCCAGACCTTTGGGAGGTTGAGGCAGGAGGATCGCTTGAGCCCAGGAGTCTGAGATCTGAGATCAGCCTGGACAACAAAGCGAGAACCCCATCTCTATTAAAACATAAAAGAAAATAAAAGCCAAGTCTAACTCAAAACTCAGCCAGAGCATGTCAACATTCCTGCTTCCCAGCTCACCTCCACCTTCGTTCTCTGCTCTTGGCTCCTTGTTTCCCAGCACATGGGTAATCCAGAGCCTCCATGTGCCTGACCCCTCTGCATCCTCCTACTCACCAACAGCACCAGGAGCTCCTAGGCAGTTGGCACTGCGGCTGTTACTGGCATGAGTACTCTGGCTGAGACCAGAGGGAGCCATCAGATGAAGAGGAATGCTGGCTGCAGAGGCCGCAGACAAAGTCCTACCTCTACTCCACCGCTGACAGCAGATGCACTGGGGCCAAGAAACAGATGGAGATTCTGTTCCTCAGAAAACATGCAAAGGCCATCTAACACAGCCCTGGGCTTGAATAAATATTAAAGATGCCTGTATGATCTTGGAGAAACCCAACTTGGCTTATATCCCTTGTCCCCCAGAAAGCATTAAGTGAACCAGGACCCTCTCCTGAGTCCCTGAAGCTCCTGGAAAACCCTCTGGCTGAACCTACAGGTCCTCTAAATACCCAGTATGGCACTTAATACCCAGCTTGTACTTAATAGTTGATTGCTACACTAGACTGTCATCTCTCCTGGGGCAGGGACCAGTATTTCTTTGGCAACCAACCCTGCACTTAGCATATGGCTGGGCATTTGGCAGACAATGCAAATACTTGCTCATTCGTCTTAAAATTGATTTAAAGCAATTTTTTTAGTTTAGGGTTTTTTTAAAAGAAAGAATGTGTAATTGGCCTCTTTTAAACTAGGAACATACAACTAACCTTTCTGATAAATAAAGCAAAGAAACCCACATTAAGTTCTTTGTTGTCTGAGTTAGAAAGTGAGTTGATGGACTATTTTGAGGTGGGAGGATCTCACACTGTCCCACCTTCGTTCGGGTCCCACCCCTATCTCCAAAACCAGCCTAGGAAGGTCTCATCCCTATCTCCATCAAGGCACTAAATATTCAATAAATGGTTCCTCACGTTGTCTTCATAGATTAGGGTAGGAGGTGCAGTTCCACCACCTTGGTCCTATCTGCCATGTGATTCCTCTCCTTTCTTTAAGTTGCATTCCAAAGACTTTCAAAGGCCCTCACAACTCAAGAGACAAGTGAGGGCAGAACCCCAGCCTTCCTCTTCTAAACCCAAAAGCTGACACCCAGAAGAAACAGATTTTCCTTCTTGAAGATAAAGTCTGTCTTTCCAGGGAAGAATTCCAATTTTATTTTTAAACCTAAGGAATGTTACCTTCTGGCATTATGAAAGGCTGCTATCTGGAGGCTATAAATGCCTTTGAGCAATGGATATGCAAGTTATAATGTTTAGACAATGGATATTAACTAGATGACAGCCTTTACGTTAACAGATAAGCTTTAAGAGTCACTTTAAACATTTCACTTTGTACTACTAATCTTAATTTTGGAGAAACTGGTACCACTTTAAAATTTCGGCGATAGGATGCATGCTCTGATTCTCCTCATTCAAGCACAATGCTACCATTTATCCAAGGAGTAGAAAAAGGAATTTTTTCTTGGTTTAAAATATGTAGTACTTGAGTTACTTTTCTTTTTTGAGTAAGAGTCTCACTTTGTCACCCAAGCTAGAATGCAGTGGCACGCTCATGGCCAAAGCAACCTTGACCTTCTGGGCTCAGGCAATCCTTCTGCCCCAGCCTTCCAAGTTACTGGAACCACAAACAGGCATATGCCACCATACCTGACTAATTTTTTAAAAATTTATTATAGAGGTGCAGTCTCGCCAAGTTGCCCAGGCTGGTCTCAAACTCCTGGACTCAGGCAATCCTCTCACCTTGGCCTCCCAAAGTGCTGGGATTACAGGCGTGAGCCACCTGGCTTGGCTTTGGGTTACTTTTAAAATCCATAATTGAGGCCAGGCTCGGTGGTTTAGCCTGTAATCCCAGCACTTTGGGAGGCCGAGGTGAGTGGATTGCCTGAGCCCGCGGGTTCAAGACCCGCCTGGGCAACTTGACGAGACCGCATCTCTATAGTAAATAAAAAAAATTAGCCGGGCATGGTAGCTCGCGCCTGTAGTTCCAGCTACTTGGAAGGCTGAGGCGGAAGGATCCCCAGAGTCCAGCAGGTCGAGGCTGCGGTGGCC